ATATATATATATATATATGTATGTATGTATGTATAGGGCTCAAATGTTTCAGTTGATTTTTTTTCGTCAATATAGCGTGCAATATATTGAAATGAAATATACAACAAACATTACAAAAACGACAGCTTCATAACAGTGAATTACTTTCTATTTACTTACTTTCTATTTTCTTACATTAGACACAATGTCAATAGCTGATTTAGTGAATAATTTGAGTTAGGCTGGGATAGCCAGACTGTTACGCTGTTACGCTACATAGTATGCTATAGAATACATCACCGTATATATGAATTTTCTTGGTTAGTACATCCACTGACTGAAATTACCTCAACGTTAACGGAAAACTGCTTGTTTTTGCAGCCAAATGCTCCACAAGTAGGCATTTTTACTGCGTGTCTCCTTGGGAAGGGGGGAGTACCAGCATGGTAGACGGTGGCTTGATTTTTTTCGGCCAATCAGAATCCAGTGAATGAATAGAGATCAGAATCCAGAACCCGCTGTTCATCTAAAACATTTCTTCTTATAGCTCGATACCGTCATCAGCTTCTGCTGTGACTTCCTGATCTCCTGGATGGATGAAAGCAACATTTTAGAGGTGCTTCACTTGGCTGATGTCTATGGACTTGAACATCTGAAAGAAAAGGTGCAGTCCTACATCCAGAGCAACATTCAGACTTTGTCTCGGATGGACGTGTACCGGCAGCTCCCAGAGGAGGATGTCTTTGAAGCGCTGAGCAGCGACACGCTTCAGGTGGTCAGTGAGAACGAGGTGTACGAGGCCGCTCTTCATTATCACTACAGCCCGGAGGAGGTGGAAACTGACCAGGTTTACTTGCAGGTCAGTCCAAAGGTGCGTTTGGATTTTAATATTTACATTACATTTTTTTATTCAACATCAGCTTAGAAAATGACCATTTTTGCTCTTCTGACTCAAAGGCCAACCTCAGGATGCTCGACGCTGTCCGCTTCAGCCTGATTGAAAAGCAGGTGCTGCAGCGACTCCACAGCAGACTGAGTCCATGTCCGCTGAAGGACTCCGTGTCGGCGGCGCTGAGGTACCACGAGCAGGAGCTGTTGCAGCCCGTCCTGCAGAGCCCCCTCACTCAGCCGCGCTCCACCTTCCACTGCATCCTCGGTTTTGGGGGGATGTACAGCTCCAGCTCCTACGTGGAAACGGATCACGTCTTTCAGCTGTTCCACCCGAGCTGGAGCGAGTGGAGGACTCTCAAAGCGTCTCACGCTCCCCGAATGTCCAACCAGGGCATCGCCGTGCTCAACAACTTCGTTTACCTTATTGGAGGAGATAAGAACAGCAGCGGCTTTCGTGCCGAGAGTCGTTGCTGGAGGTCAGGGAGGATTTTTTTTTCTCTGTTTTAATAACATCACTAGTTTGAAGTCGGTCCTCTAAGACTCAGCTTCTTTCAGATATGACCCTCGTTACAACAGCTGGTGCTCCATCCAGCCTCTGCAGAGGCAGCATGCAGACCACTGCGTCTGCGTGGCGGGCGGCCATATTTACGCAATCGGAGGACGCGACTACAGGAGTGAGCTGAACTGTGTGGAGCGCTACGATCCGAGCACAAACATGTGGGAGTTTGTAGCCCCGATGAAGAGAGAGGTAAGAGTTTAAAACACAATTATTCAGACTCTGTGAACAGCCTCTTCTGCCTGTTTACTCCAGATTCTCAGTTGGCTCTAGATCTACTTTGATTAGATCACAACCATACATTCTTATCCCACATCTGTTGCCCAAACAAGTTGTATTCTAGGATCCTAATGCCTTTACCTCCATCCATCTTTTCATCATCTCTGATGAGCTGATTAAAATTATTCTCACCACATGATGCTGCCACCACCGTGCTTTGCTATTGCTATGGACGGTATAGCATTTTGGATGGGTCCTTTTCCCTCTCTTCCATTAGAGCCTGTTATGTGGAGTCCACAGCTGATAGTTTCAGAGTCTATTTTGGTGTTTAAGTGTAAAGGAAGTAGAAATTTGTAAAATCAAACTTCTTTGTGTTAATTTATCACATGTAAAGCCGTGCATCCAGGTCCAAGGTTGTGTTAATGCTGCTGCCCACATGGTGGTGCTCTACACCAACCTGCTATCAATTCTCTGACCCAAACCCTTTGTGCCTTTTAAGTTTCTTTTTTCTCCCTAATCTTCTGTGGAAACTTCCCTCTAGGTGTATGCTCACGCTGGGGCGGCGGTAGACGGCAAGATCTATCTGACGTGCGGCCGTCGAGGAATGGCGTACCTCAGGGAGACGTACTGCTTTGACCCCGCAGCCGATAACTGGACGGCGTGCGCAGACGGGCCGGTGGAGCGGGCGTGGCACGGCATGGCTGCTGTAAACGGGCGCCTCTATGTCATCGGCGGTAGCAACGACCAGCGCGGGATTCGCCGTGATGTCCTGCAGGTATGTTTATTTTATTTCTGTTTAACGTTTTCTAAATCGCAGTCAGTCAGTTTGATCTTCTTCTCTTCCTTTTTTTAATCAGGTGGCTTGCTTTGAGCCCAGCGCCAACTCCTGGTCTTTAGTGACCCCCCTCCCTTCTGGACACGGAGAACCCGGCATAGCTGTGCTGGACAGCCGCATCTACGTCCTGTGTGGGCGCTCCCACGACAGGGGCAACAGGATGAAGTACGTTCACGTGTACAACACAGACACGGGAGAGTGGGAAAGCCAGACCGAATTCAGGAGGCGCGTGTCCGGCCTGGCCGCCTGCGTGGCGCTCATGCCCCCCGTTGTCATCGCTCAGGCCCGGGGCTGGGAGCAAAGCTCAAAGGCTCCATCAGATGAAGCAGACATAGACAACTCGGAGGAATCCAGCGATGATTGAAAGGAATTCTGTGTATTTCCTATCCGGGGCGTCACCACTTTTAAGGGACGGAGCATTGATAACTCGTAGTGCCTCTGAATGAGATTCGCTTAGCACCTTATGCACATTTTTTGTTACTTCTCAGATTCGAGGTACAGCACTCCATCCCACCTGCCATTATTTGCTCTTTATTCCTTATTTCTGTTCTCATCTTTTTGTAATATATGTTATTAAATTTGCTTAATTGCACAAACTCCTTAATCAAAGGGAGTGTCTTGATTGTCAAGTTTGAAACGTTCTTCCAAGTTTGATATGAGGATTAAATGCTAATATCTGCTCTAGTTCTTGTTGCATAAAAACTAAATATTCTTCACCATGATATCCATAACCGTGCCTTGTTTTGTGATCGCATCCTCTGTGTTTGATAATATCAGAAGAATGGAGTTAATTTTGGTCCATTATTCTTGTAAGCAAAGAATATGTTTTGTAAATGGAAATATGGGGGGGGGAAATCCAGAAATTAAACTTTGGAAAATTTAAAAGAAAGCAACTTTGCTCCTTTCTCAGGATTTTGTTTTTGCATATTTTATTTTTTATTTTTCATATGTTATTATTTTTATGTTGTTTTTAACTGATTTTAGTGTTTAGTTTTCAAATTTCTCTTTTGCAGATTGAGTTTCACAGATTGCTTTTTTGTTTTGAATTGCATTTTATAAAATTCACTCTGAAAATGGGAAAGTTGGAAAAATGAAATAAAAAATAAAATGTAAAAAATCTGGAAAAATATAGAAAAAAGTAATCTAGAAAAATAAAATAAAGTGAAATTGAATTTTGAGAAAAAAAATGCTGAATATGAAACAAAAAGGAAACAGCAAAATTACTCTCAAAACCTTTTTGGATTTATTGATTGTATCTGTTTCTTTAAATTTAATTTACAAAACGCTCTTTTCTTGCAACATTAATGGAACAAAGTTCACTCCATATCAGAGACCACCGTGTTTCTGGAGGTCCTTTAGCTTTACATGCCTCTAATCAAACACATGTTTTGGTTTACTCATACAGGAGCCATTATCAGAAGTTTTGTGTCGAAGACTTTTTTCAAGCTGCATGTAAACAAAATAAATATCCTGTTCTTCAAGAGTTGTCCTTAAGATCAATTTATTTACAAACGCAGAGCCTTTCCAAAGTGTTTGCAGCCTTGAAACATTGTTCTCACTTTAGGACGTGAGTGTAATAAGTTGATTAATGCAAAGATGTACAACACTTTTATTGTCATACAGATTGTATACTGAACGAAATTTCATTTTTTCCAATTCTTAAAGGGCAGCAGTGATCAAATGTAAACATCATGGTGCAAAAAAAAAAAAAAAAAAAATGCACTGATATGGTCAGAGATGTGATCAGCTGGTTTCTAAAGTTTTCAGCCTCCTGGGAAAGACTAACCGTCCCCAGTGATCGGTAGTTTCTATTAGGATCAATTATATTATTTACACTCGCATCACTTCACATAAAACCAAACTTTTCATTGGGTTTTAAGAACACAGAAAAAAACACGGTGGAACTCCGTGGAGCGAAGACAAAACGTAACGTTTGGAGCTATTGGGGAGTAAAACAAGGTCTCCATGTAAACAAGAACAGGGAAGCTGGTTAAAGTTTATTGGGAAAATGAACTGAATGAAATGCTGAGAATTAGGCTGAGGAAATCTGTTATTGATGTCTTCTTCTGGGGCAGAAGGTTATTGTTTGGTCTAAAAGACCCGATGCCAATGGAGGGGGTGTCTTAGCTCAGAGCTGCATAATATATTTACAATTTTTGCTGTAATTTGATTCTGATCGGACGTCCTGAGAAGTGCTCTGTGATCTTTTGCATCTTTATAAAGTAAATTTTCATCCATTAGTGTTGCAAGCCAAGATTGTTTTGCGAATGGAAATTTAAAAACAAATTAAGATTAGATTAGATTAGATTAGATTCAACTTTATTGTCATTACACAGGTACAGGTACAAGGAAGCGAAATGCAGTTTAGGTCTAACCAGAAGTGCAAAAGCAGCAGCAAGTGCAGGATAAATAATGGTTCCATAAATACAGGACGTGGATATTTCTACTGAATGAGTATAGAGATGAATACTATTATAAATAATGAATATAATATATAGATAACTAGTGTTATGAACTAAATTTACGGCTGGATATGTCCGAATATAATATACAGATGGGTTTTACTATAAAATGAATAAATAGAGTTTGGCCAGAAGCTATCTAAATTAAAGTGCAGTGGAAGGTCATTGCATATTACAGTTAAAGTACGTTAT